TCCATGGGATGAATGAAAGCGATTAAAGGTTATTTTTTTCATTTTGGTTTAGCTCTCTCTCTCTCTTCTCTCTCTCTCTTGGTCTTGTAAAATTGAGAATAATTTTCTACTCATCCTTGACCAAACTAGCTACTAATCAACTCCATTTTGCAACTTAATATTGTAATTTTCAACGATATATCAACCCTTTTAAACATGAACCTCTACTTTGACAAAGTCATTAATTTGATTATTCTTCAAGCAAAAGCCAACGCAAAGAAACCTCCCCCACTTAATTTTATACTTCCATTTTCTTGGAATATGCTCCAAATTAGTCCCTGTAAACAATAAAAGATTAAGAAAAGATAATACAATATACAAAAACTCTTCTCAACTTGAGTTTAGGGATTAGGGATGATCAAAACATACACTATCTTACTCCACGAATGTGGCGATTATTTTTTGTATATAGCTTGAAATTTACTACTCAAATCATTATAAAATAATTTTACTGTTGTGTTAATGACCCAACAAACACTACAACAAACTTGATGTTTAGCGGTAAATTTATTCTTCGTCCAAAGTGATTTTTCAGCGACAAAAATTATTTGTTATGAAAGATAGACCTTTGAACGACAAAAATTATTCTACGTTTGTTTGAATTGGACGACTTGTATTTTGATTTTTGTAATACCTTTTTTCTTTCTATTAATAAAGTCGTTGTTTCCTATGGGGAAAAAACATAGTAAAGGTGTATTCAGAGTTAACATTGCCATGGCCGCCAAGAACTTTCCAAACTCACCAAGGTTTGGACTGACACTGGGCAGGGGCGGCCCAACCCAAATAGTGGCTTGGCAAAAATAATATGTGGTGCCCGAGTAATATTTATTCAATAATAATATTAGTATTAAACAGTTATCAAAATATTAAAAAATTTTATTTAAAAATTATTTGTTTTGTCTTTTTTTTTTAGATACAACATACTAATTAAAATTTAAATTTTACAAATAAAAATTGTGATAACCGTAGTTAAATTTGGAGATCAAATAGAAATGATACATGCTATTTGTTTAAGATAAAGAAAAACATAATTGAAAATAAGTTTAACTAGTAAGACAAGTATAGTTAATTAATTTCAAATAGTGAATCATCGCCGCCAACCACCACTACTTGCCAACTACCACCACCACCCGCTACCCCACCCACACCCAACACTTTTCGTCACCAACCACCCACCCACTACCCACAATCGTCGCCAAGCACTATTACCCAAAACTCACCATCACCCAAAACTCCTAAATGATGTAATCGTGGGTCTTGTGGGGGGTTTGGGTTGTCATTTCATTTCCTTCTTGTCCGCCTTTTATAACCAGATCCTTCAACGGTTTCTCTGTCCATCAACGGTTAATTAGTTTGTAACTTTCAGGCAGTTATTATCTTCTTTTAAACAAGGTCATGGCTGATCGTTTCTCGCCTCTTCATTAGATTCTTGATACGTGACAATTCTTTAATGCCTTCAAGCTTACAAACTGCTCATGCATTGAATTTTCTTATAATTTTATATTTTAAGTCCAAACGGAAGATTAAAGTGTTTTTAAAAGTTCAAATTTGTGCATGGATAATTGTTCATGGTAAGATAAATACCAATGATGTGCTTCAACGGAGGAGACTGGTGAATTGTCTTTCACCACAATGGTGTGTGATGTGTAAAGATGATTGTAAGAATGTGGATCATTTGTTCTCACCACTTCCTGTGGCACTTTCACTTTAGAATAAATAATTTGATTTTTTTGGCATCTCTTTGGTTGCTCCAATGACGATCTCATCTGTGTTTTGTATGGATTTTAGCGGTTTGGATGAAAGTAACAGAGGAAAAAGGAGCATGCGAGCGAGGTGAAGATCATTAGCCAATTGAGGCACCGGAATTTGGTGCAACTCATAGGTTGGTGCCATGATCAAACATGTTCCTGCTTGTCTATGAGTTTATGCCCAACGGCAGCCTTTACACTCACCTCTTTGGAAAAAGAGTCTTCTCACCTGGGAAGTGAGATACAAGATAACTCTTGGTTTGGCCTCAGCATTGCTCTATCTTCAAGAAGAGTGGGATCAATGTGTGGTTCACAGAGACATCAAATCGAGCAATATAATGCTGGATTCAAGCTTTAATGTCAAGCTTGGTGATTTTGGCTTAGCTCGACTGATTGACCATGATCTCGGTCCCCAGACAACCAGCAGGTTTGCAGGAACGTATGGTTACGTAGCACCAGAGTATAGAAGAACACATAAAGCCAGTAAATAGTCGGATATATACAGCTTTGGGGTGGTTGCCTTAGAAATTGCTACCGGAAGAAAGTCAGTTGATGTGATGGACGAGAACTCTCAAATTGGGTTGGTAGAGTGGGTTTGGGATCTCTACGGAGGAGGGCAGCTTCTTTCAGCTGTAGATGAGAGACTAAGAATGGATTTTGACGCAAAACAAGTAGAGTGTTTGATGATTGTGGGGCTGTGGTGTGCTCACCCGGATCATAGTTTGAGGCCATCAATAAGGCAAGCAATACAAGTACTGAATTTTGATGCAGCAGTGCCGAATCTTCCATCAGATATGCCTGTTCCTATGGATCGTGTACAAGCTGGTGCCCCACAAACATTAATGTTGGTCGTTAAGCAAGTGTGGCGTGCATATGTTTGTGAATGTAAATTTACAGTCTTCTTGTAGTGTTCCATTGTAATTTCACTTCACTTACTCTTAGTTATTAGAGATCTATTAGGTTAGATGTTATGCTTAAATTAGTTCCAGTTCTGTTTTAGTCCATGGGATGAATGAAAGCGATTAAAGGTTATTTTTTTCATGTTGGTTTAGCTCTCTCTCTCTCTCTCTCTCTCTCTCTCTCTCGTGTAAAACTGAGAATAATTGTTCTACTGCATAAATTATTAAGCTGTAAAATCCGTCGGCCAAAAGAAAGCAATGGGGAAAATAGAAGGTTGAAAGATGAGATTATGAAATGGGTTTTACAGAATTTTAAGTGAGTTTATTTTGTGTTTGACATTCGGAATCAATTAATATGTTTGTTTGAGATCATTCTGAACCAAGAACAATTGTAACACCCGCCGCACCTGTCAAGATATTATGTTTTGACTGCTCATACACTCTCACGGTTTTGTTCTTCTAAAGATTTTCTCTTAGAAAAAGCCTTTTGATAGTTAAGACAGAAAAACCACATAAATAGCCCTGGAACTTTTTCTCCCCCAACCGATTTGGGATGGCGGACATGGCACCTGTAACACCTCTTATTGGACATCTTGGCTGAAAGAGGCGAGAATGACAGATCCGTTAAAATTGACTCTCTCTCTCACAAAATCCGACTAGCTGCGACTTCATTAGTCTGATAACGAGGAATCTTTATAAGACATTAGATACACACAGGCGTAGTAAAATCCTAGATACATGTAATGACCAAGAGTGACCAGCTAACCATCACAAGTATCGGTTCAATCTTTCTATAGCCAAAGCCAATTCTATGCCGTTGGTCTGCCTATGCGGGATCATATGTAAGCCCTTTTCATCATGCATTATATGCTATGTTTTATAGTTAAGCCAAAGAAAGAATCATAAACCTAATTTGCTTGTGGTTGACGGCATAGTGGAAAGAATAATCTGCAGTTCATTAAAAATGAAGGCTTTAGTCAATGGTTTCTTTTCTTGTATGAGTACTAGGAAAGGTAAGACTTTTTGTGTTTTCCATTTATAATGTGTCTCACTCACAGCTTATACAACTTGCTTCTTTCTTTCTTTTTTTTTTTTTCTCAAGCTTGTTAATGAATTTGATTTCGATTGAGTTTAACCGAATTAAATCTAAATTCGATGTAAGAACTTAGGTTGAAATATAATCTAAATACTTGATGAATTTTACTATCACAGTCCATATTCAAATCAATTAAAATGAAAAATAGAATAAAATTGTGCATGCACTAATTCTAATTTGATGAATGACTCAACTAGATTTGAATTTTATCAAAGTCAACTCTCTATTTCATAATAGAATTATGGCTAATTAATAATTTATATCCTTAAAGTACGTATATAATTTTTATTTGGTCCCTCAAGTTTCAATTTAAGTAGAAATTAGGTGCATACTTCAAACACAATGAAAATATCAATTAACCATATTTAAATTCAGATTATTGACCCATCCCAAGTCTGCCTCAAAAGAAATTTTGGATTGCAGTAGGCCAATTTTCCTTACACATTTTATGAAAAGAAATAATTTATCACAATTAAGTTGAACTTGAGGACCCCAAAGAATACCATACTTTCGTGAGCAGAAAGAACACCTACACTTGGAATACATTACTGGTGCAGTGAGACCTTGGAGCTACTAATCAAGTCCATTCTGCAAATATATCAACCCCTTTAAACATGAACCTCTACTTTGACAAAGTCATTAATATGCTTATTCTTCAAGCAAAAGCCAACGCAAAGAAACCTCCCCCACTTAATTTTATACTTCCATTTTCTTGGAATATGCTCCAAATTAGTCCTCGTAAACAATAAAAGATTAAGAAAAAATAATACAATATCCAAAACTATTCTCAACTTGAGTTTAGGGATTAGGATGATTAAAATGTACACAGTCTTACTCCAGGAATGTGGAGATTATTTTTGTATGTAGCTCGAAACTTACTACTCAAATCATAATAAATTTGATGTTTAGCGACAAATTTATTCATCGATAAAACTGATTTTCGGCGACAAAGACCTTTGGACTATAAGTAATTCATTATTAAAAATACAAATATTTATTGCAATAAAGTGAGAATTGTCACCCAAAAAAAAACCTAAAAAATTTTGGTCACAACCTTTGGCGACGAATAAATTTCGTCGCCAAAAGTCCTTTTGTTGTTAAGTGTTGTGGAAATGATAGAAAACAAAAACGTTTCACAATTATAAACATTCAATACTCAAAAATACAAGACCAAAAATTTTATTGAATGAACTTTTATTGTATTTAAAAAGAAGAAAAGGGAAAGGCAAAATTGCAACTTTTTGCAGCCATATATGCTAAACAAGTTTAGTTCCCACTGCAAAGTGAACAATATAATTTATTATCTTCCATAATTATATGTCCCATACAGCTATATATATATATATATATATAGCGTCAATACAATATAACATGATTGATCACATTCGAATCATCAAAATATAAAAAGACAGTAATGACCTATGAGGAATCTAATCAACCGCTTCAAGAAGCCTCTTAACTCTGTGACACATATATATTTCCATTGACCTATTAATATAACTCATCAGTGAGACATTATCTTGAAAGAGAATGACTTATTGAGCCATGCCTTCCAACCACTGTTCCTCTTCCGAGCATTAACCAAGTCCGACCTCGATTCTGTCATATGTGGCTGGCTCTGCTTCTTGCACAGTACAAAGTTCCTTCCCCCACCAGACCCGATCGATTCGGATGGACTAAGAGCTACAACAAAAATCACAAAAAATAAAAAAAATCCTAGAATTTTTCATATTGTTTGTATGTTATTGATTATAACTCAATGAACAAGAATAAAAATTTAATTTTGGTGCATAGTTTCGTTTACAAAACATAAACGATTTGTAAATATTTTTAAAGCTCAACATAAACAGAAAACAATAGAGTTCTGATTCTAAAACATACTAGAATAGTCCAAAACATGAAAATTTCAAAAATCTGATTCGTTTTCGTTTTCATTTGAACCAAGATCTTCTGTTCTTTGGGTTAATGAAATCCTAAAGCATGAAAATAAAACCGAAATCATGAACTTTAAAGTCAGATGAAGGATTTGTTTGGGTACCATCCGATCCAGCATTGGCAGGATAGAGAAGGAAACTATTTGCATCAGAACCAAGAACAGGAAGGCGACGTTCACGAGCATAGAGTTTTAGAGCTGAATCAATTACCCCACCAACGTTACCATCCTCATTTACCACAAACCTTATTGGACCAGCACTCCCAAGAACGTTGACAGTGATCAAAAACCGACTGTTCTTCGCTTTCTGATTCTCGTTATTCTTCTTCTGCTGCTTCTGTGACAACATTTTCTCTGAAAGGCTTCTCTTTACCTCTATATTACTGGTTTTTTTGGCGTTTTCTCTGGTACCCATTTGAGATGAAGCTATAGAGATTGATCAAGATTAAACAAAGAGGAGTTGCAAAGTTTAGAGAGAGAGAGAGAAAGAATTGGGTTTATGGGTCGGGGCCGAGGCAGCGGTAATACCAGGCTTGTTTGCAAGAACCAAAGGATGAAGAAAGGAGAGGAAGGAGAAGAGAAAGAGAGAGAGTGGAGTCTGACTGTCCCGGGAAAGAGAACAGCGCGAGTTGCGCACTCGCACAAGAGGAGGACGAGAGAGAAAGCATGAAAGTACAGGCGGGTTCTACCATTCAAGCCGTGTTTTTGGTTTGGCTATGCAAATAAAAGAGAACTCTTGTACAAGAAAAGAAAGGAGAGAAAAAGAGGAGAGTGCCTTCCAGGGTTCTGCAGAGAGAGAGTCTGATTGTTTTCCTATGATGCAGGGCTGTAAGGGTTATATGAACTTATGTATATACACAGTCATGTGCATCATTGCATGCGTTAGTTTCAGGCATCCGGGGTAGGTTTGTTCATTTCATTTGTTTATCGAAATCAACTTTTGGGTATCATACTTTTACTTATTGACTAATAAAAAATATCACAGTACTTTTGCTTTCTGGCTTCCATTATTACTTTTTGGCATATAATTTTACTTACATATCATATGAAGCATCCAAGAATGTTTTAAGCGAAAAAAATGAAAGATTTAAAATAAAAAAATTATATTACATTAACACAATGCAAAAATTCTTATGAACTTAAATTAACACTATTATAAAATTATTTTGGCATATATTTCTTCATGACGACTCTTCTTTTTAATAAGTGTTCATTTTTTCAACAACTTGTGAAATTTAAAGAATAAGTTGTCTAGCTCATATTGAACTATAAATAAAAAAAATAATAATAATAAATCGACTGAACTAAAATTATCCAACGAATCTATTTGTAACTGCAAGGACAATTGATTTAAATTATCTGCTGCTATAATTTATTGGAATCTATAGAAATATTTTCACACTGCAATTAAACCAAATCAATAAAATCAAAATATCACTACTTAAAAAAATTGATAACCGACATTTTTATCATTTCGGTATCTATTTGCACTATTTAAGTATTTAAAAAATATGAATATTAGCAAGGGGAAAGCGATGCAAATCAGAAAAAAAATTGATAGTTGGTTTAGAATTTTTTTTTTTTTGTGCAATTGGTTTCATTTATTTTTTTTATTGATCATTGATATTTTTTATTGGTAATTAGCTTGATTTTGAATTTTTTAGTTTTTTTTTTATACAATTGATATCACTTGTTATTTTTTATTGCTGATTAGTTTAACTTTAAATTTTTTTATTGATGATTAACTTGGCTTTGAATATCTACAACATGAGAATTGTTTTTAGTATTTAAATGTTTTTTCATCTATAAAATCATACAAATGTTTTGAGTAAATAAGTTCAATTAAGATCATCAAGACAAACAAATAATGATAAGAGATAAAGTATAAGATAACATTGTTTGTCTTGACGATTCTAATTAAACTTTTATTTTATCTCATCTATATATATATATATATATATATATATATATAGAGAGAGAGAGAGAGAGAGAGAGAATATGAGAGATGTGAGAGTGTGTGTTTAATATATCTGTGTGAGAGAGAGAGAAAAAAAAGTTATATTGGAAACGAGAGTTTTAGAATTTTAAAAAGAATGAAGTCTAATTAGAATTATTGAATTAATAATTTTCAAACAATTTAAGCCGCGAAAAATTCAAAACAAATAAATTTAGCTATTATATTATATAGATGAATTTTTAAGAGTTACACACCTCATCAATTTTTTTTTTGTAAGACACTCATCATCACTTACTACATTTAAATTTAATATCTCTGTTTTTCCCACATAAGACAACAATTTCACTTTGTCTTCTGAATTTGAAAAGTCCCTTGTAGTTGTTTTAACTTTGACTATTTCTTTTGAATTATAAAAGAGATGTCAACCCAAAAAATAAAAAACGAAAAAGGAAAAATTTCAGGCAAGGAGAAAAAGGCTTGAAAAAAACGAGATATAGTTTAAATGGTAATAGAGACTAACTATAAATTTAGATATCTTGAAGTTAAATTTTAACAATTTCTTAAGACCAAATCATGAGAGATAAATTCTTCATTAATACACTAATTCAAGCGTGAATAGTTTGTTTTTAACCAAATTAAAAAAGAAATTAATTAAAGTATTAATAAGCTCATTCAGACAACCTTAACCATGAAATAAAAAAAAAGTTATTTGATGGCCTAAAACAAATACTCGGTTGTCACTTCTATTACGAAGTCAATGCTGTAATAATTTCCAACGTTATGATACCACCACCCTTTTTTATTTTATTTTATAATCTCATGTTTATATTTACAGGTATTACAAAAGATAACATTTTCTTGTCAAAATGGGTTTAAGTTGTATTGTATTAAAAAAAATTTACTGCATTCTCGATCTCTTTATAGAGATGTTGTTGTGTTAAATTTCATTCATTTATAAATCGTATTTAATGAATTCGTGTCTTGCATAACATTACATAATTTGACATGGCTACCAACAAATAAACAATGTTCATAGTCTGGTCAAAGGGAGGTGTATCAAGCCTTACGAGGTTGCAGCTTGTAAGCCTCAAACAAAGGTATAAGCTGTAATGTCGACTTCTGCTGAACTGGGATATGCTAAATCAAACGTTTCACACTAACTTTTATATTCTTTTCTTTCATGGGAAATCCTGTTGCTGAATTTGTAAGCATAGAATTTAGATACAATTCTGAGTTAGAATATGGGAAATTAGTTCAACAAATGCTCTATCAAAATACATTGAAAATGATGATGAAAATGAAGTAAACAAAAATCATATACAATGTTAGGGTATTTTGACAGAAATTTTTTACGGTGAAAATGTTCACCGTCACAAAAAAAAAAAAAAAAGTGTTTCGGAGAAACAAAAAAAAATTGTGGCAATAATGTTGTCATAAAAAGTTTATTTGTTGCCAGAAATATTATTTGAGATGGTCATTTCCTTTACGAGGACTTTTTAAAACTATTTATTATGGCGAGGCTTGCAAATACTATCAAAAAAAATAAAAAAAATTCTTCAAAACACGTTTTTTTGTGATGCTGAACAATGTCACCACAAAAAAATTGTCTCAAAAAATCCTAATTCTTAGAGTAATATTAGATTCAAACTTGCGACCCATTTTACTATTTGGAAGGACTAACACAAATACAAATGGATATTTTGGATACCACACCACCCAAATCCCATTATTATTAGTCAACTTTGAGGATTTCTAATAAATTAGTATAGTTTTTAATCTTTGATTTACAAGCTTATTTGTAAAGAAGTTATTCTCTTATTAGAGATGGTGATCTTCCATTGGATTGGAAAATTGTTTAAAACAGGTCGTAGACTTTAGTTGAGACAAGTGGTACATTAAAAAACATCTTGGTATGTAATTAATATTTGTTAATTATTTATACAGAATAATAGTAACTTAATTGAACCTAAACATCTTGGTAACCTTATACTTGTGATAATTCATCTCTGCACACGTAAAAACTTAGTTTTTGAGCGATTAAAGTAAATTAATTGAAGTACATATAAACTAATTCAAATATCTAATCTCTATAAAAAAAAAAAAAAGGGAATTACTGGTTGACTTTGGCCCCAGAAAAGACTGACTACAATATACGTCAGCCTGGTTGTTTCTCGATGGTAACATGTAGGGGAGTGCACAGTGACTATTCGACCAAATGTGAACTCCATTATTGTGGAATAAAGAATTCACAGTATGCTGCATACAAAAATCTCTCTTCCATGTGCCCTTAATATTTGTCATTTCGTCAGCGTCAATAAGCTGATTTCTGAAGGAATAAATAACAAAAATTTTAAAAAAATTATATTATAATATTTTTAATATATTGAGGATATAATATAAAATTTTTAATTTTTAAAGATATAAAATATAAAAAAAATTAAATATTTCAGAATGCAAAATGTGAGTCTCTAATCAAATTTTAAAACTTATCTTCAATTTTTACCAAATTAAAATTTGAAACTCAAATTGAGCCTATTAATTCAGCCCATTAAATTAAAATGTCCTAAAATTTTAATTTTAAAAAAAAAAACTAACAATAAAATTAAATTATTGAAAAATGAAGGGTTAAACACTAAAAAAAATCATGTTCAAACTTATCATCATAATTTTTTAATCATTTTCTCTCTCTTTATAAAGTTCAAATATGATAATAAAAGTTTGAATATAAAATTTTAATTAACATTTTTATATTTTACAAAATTAAAAATTAAATTTATTATTAATATTAAAAATAAAAAAACCTCACCCTGAGAAGAATTGCTTAATGTTGGACGGAGCTTTACTAGTTTTATTAAACTTTGAGACTAAATATATGGGTCAAATGATAAATATACCACATTATTTAGACCATTTCAAATTTTGTCATTATTTTGGTAATAGACGGTGGCGGCTTACACCTAATTTCGTACACTTATTCCATCTTTCCAACGGATCAGAACAGTATTTATTTAATAATGTTTTGTTGGGTCTTTTTCTATTGGTCCTTTTCGTGGTCCACAAACTATTAAGTGGATTTGGTGTACACCACGATGCTAGGTTAAGTCACAAGAAAACAACCAGAGTACCACGGCCCGGCCATGTTAGTCGAAAAAGTTATAGGCTAAATTCCATTCAGACGCATCCAAAATTTGTCATTTAATTATTTAAATTCTCTCATATTTGTCAAATTACACCTACTTCTTTTTAAAATTTATGTGCGTGTAACGCATAACTCATATCATCAGTTTTCGTTAAGATAATCGTTAAAAATTTATAATCTTATCATAATATATAAAAATAATTTATCAAACTGCCTTTCTTTAGCCAAACATTTGGAACACATTCTCGGTTAAACAACTTTGACTTTATGATCACACTTAGGGAACTTCAAACAACAAGGATTGTTAGACGTCAAGAATTTTCAAATGCCTCAACTATTCTTCATCTGGGAAGCGACTAAGGCGAGAAACTTTATATACTCCACAAAAAGGATAGTTTGGTCATTATAAAGAACTTCAGACAATATCTAGGGGTATTTAGCACTTTTGTTTGTTCCGTTGTATCTGTCGATTAATCATCATCCACAAAGAATATAGGTGTAATATGTCAAATGTAAGGAAGTTTTATGTGATTAAGTGATAAATCTTAAAGAATCTAAGTGTAATTTAGGCTTCATTATGATACTAGCACTTTAGGTTTTTAAGGTTCATGAGAAGATTGAACTGATATGAGGTAAACTCAATCTTTTTGGAAATACTCATTATAAAATAAGACAAAAATCTTTCGATAGGATAAGAAAGTTGAGAGGATAGACACATAAGAGAGAGATCCAAAATATGAGAAAGCGACCGTAAGGAAAGCAATTAGGCTAAACTGTTGATCTTATGGAGTAGTTTGACCTTGAAAAACAAACCGTTCCATGGATCATATTCTCGTTTCGTTCGGATGCTAATTTTCAATACAATTCGAACCCAAAGAAAATTAGTAGATTTAGATCGAAAGTCTATCATCTTTTTGGCAAAGATTGATGCTTCGATCTCTTTGAAGAAAAGAATTGAGTGTGACCAATTAAGATAATCAAGTTAATTTATCCTGGTCATGTTTATTAGAATTAATAAATGAGTTGAGTTATTCGGGTTCGACTCGACTCATTTTTTGAAACGAGTCGAACTTGAATATTTTTTTAAGTTTATTTAAAATAACAAGTTTGATAAATTCGGCTCAATTACCAACCTTATTCCAATGGTCCTATACTCCCGACCCGTCCCGTCCACAACCGACCCGGTTCCCGAATACCCATTCTCGTCGAGTCAATTTCTCTCACCAAGCCGCGAAGATGGTGGAAAGAGTCCCATTCCCATACACAAAAACATGGCGTGATTATTGGCAAAAATTAAATAGACAAAACCCCACAGCATTAATTAGTTTTTGCAGAGAGTGTGATTGGTGTAGAAAACTCACCGATATACGTTAAGCCGTGGGTATTACTGGGTATTCAAATACTCTCTCTCTCTCTCCTTCCAAGGTCATCTTCTCCACCACAATCAATCTTTTCAATTCTCTTCATTTTTCATTTGTGTGTGCTATTTAATTAACGTCTTCGATGGAAAACTTGTTGGGTCTTCTGAGAATTCACGTCCACAGAGGCGTAAACCTTGCTATCAGAGATGTCAGCAGCAGCGATCCTTACGTTATTATTAGAATGGGCAAACAGGTATGGCCTTGGCTTGTCCTTCTAACAAAACTCTAGCACTTGGGTTCTTTGTTTATTAGTCTCCTCTTTTGCTAATTTGTTGGCTCTAGATATTCAAGTGTTAGACTGATTAATAATTAGTTTTGAGTTTGTTGATGTGGAATGTTCTTCGGCTGGAGAATAGACTTCAATCTTCTGTGACTTAAAGTTCAATCAAAAACCATGAAAATTAGCCATCTGGCTACTTGATTCTTCTTCTTCCTATTCCTCTTGACCTCATCCTATTGTTGAAGCTGAACTTTACTTTAGTTGTAGTCAGAATCAATATACACCCTTCTGTTTGCATATCTGGCTTGTCAGTTGTTGCTTTTGTTAATCCTATAATTTTATTTGGCTTCTCTCTCTCTCTCTCTCATCATTTGGGAGGAGGGATTGGATTGGTGTTATCAAACCCTTCCAAACCCAACCCCCACCTTTGAGTACATGGGATTCATAGATGAATTCTATCCATACCCAGGTTTGGATAAGGAACAAATACACCCGTCCTAAATGGAGAACACACAAGTAAGTGGAAATGGTGGTCGTAGATCAGAAATACAGATCAAGCCGTTTGCTATTGCTATAACGGCTGCTCGTGGCCTTATAGGGCTTGGCTTCTCTATCGCTCCTATGTAGTGGTTGATACCGGAAGGGCACAAGGGAATTATACCCAGTATTTTTCTGGGATCAACTTTTCAAGCTGTCAATTTTTCTCATGGTGTGTTATTTTGTTGACCATAATTCTTATACTACCCACAAAGAGTTGACTTTGACATAGACTTGTATAGTCCTAGGGGTAATTCGATTCATGTCTGAAGGCACGGTGCTACGTAAATTAACCGATTAATTTAGAGAAGTAAGGAGTGTGACCGATGGATGAGTGTATTTGAGATCGTCGAATGGACTTAATGAAGTCTTGTCTGTTTTATATTATAGATATGTGCAATAATGATACATCCATCACGTTTATCAACCAAATTTATTGGCTGAATTCACATTTATCAGTTGTCATTGGATCGACAGTAGATTCGATCCAACTTCTGGACCAATTGATAATCTACGAGAGACGTTTACATTGGATGCATTTCAAGTTCTAATTTTCTTCTCTTGAAGTGATTCTTCTATACAACTTTTATACTTTTCAAGTTTCCATTGGATCAATTTAACTAACGTTATTCAAATTCCCACACTTGAAACAGAAATTAAAGACAAGCGTGATAAAGAAGAATGTCAATCCTGAGTGGAATGAAGATCTGACACTTTCTATTGCAGACTCAAATCTCCCAATCAAGCTAGTAAGTATTTCATATCTAGTGCTGGCTCTGTTAACAAAGTATCTCACAATAAAAGAATTTAGGAGAAAAAAAGCAGATGAAGTTAATGCATTCATGCTATACACTTAGAAGATATGGTGAGAGGTTGGAATGTACTTAATAATTAATGCCTCCCATAAGTTTAGCAACAAGAGAAGTATTTTAGTACTTGGTATTATATCTTCCATGGATTTGGTTGTGTATGAGTAATGGAATCCTCTACATGTCTGCCTTTTTCTTTTTCACACACACACATGAAATCAAAGAAGCAAACAAAACTTAGACTTGATCTTTAATTGAAGTATAGCATTATTAAAACTCTATCGAAAATTCTATACGTTTCTCAAGGAATTTGAGAAAACCCGTAAAGGCATTGAAGCTCTCATCATCCAGCAATTAAAGCAAATGCTGGAGATAACTGTCATTTACTGTCTTTACATTACTATGTTAAATTGGGTGCTAAACTGCTAATTCTTTGTTGTGGAAATCTTTTTCGTGCATAGATAACCGAAAGAGGCTACAAGGACTAAACCAATTCACAATTTATCAACCTCACTAGTCAATTCCTGGCTTCAATGCTTCATGTTTTAACCATAGCATCTAAAAAGAATGGGATTCACAGTATAAGTGCTATCTGTGTCGACTATCGAGCATTTGGTATTTAAGGTGGTTGTTGTTGACAGTAGGCAGAATTTTCCAACTGAATGAAAAGTTAGAAAACTTTTGTTGTTAACTTTGGTGGATTTCTTATCCGTTTGACAGGTCAGGTGAGCCAGCCATGATCACCCAACTCGCACAACCAGCATTCTTCTATTGTTACTGAAAATTTTGTGTTTCTTCATTAAATAAAAAATCAAAACCAACTGATACTTATAGTCTTATACCATGTTGTAATTCGTACTTGCAGGCAGTATATGACAAGGATACATTCACCATGGATGACAAAATGGGAGATGCAGAATTTGACATAAAACCATTTGTGGAAGCCGTAAAGATGCGCTTGCATGACCTCCCAAATGAAACCATAATCACAAAAATTAGACCAAGCCGAGAAAACTGCCTAGCTGAAGAGAGCAACATCATCTGGACAAACGGGAAAGTTGTTCAAAACATGGTTCTCAGGCTCCAGAATGTCGAGCGAGGTGAAGTGGAACTCCAGCTGCAGTGGATTGATGTTCCTGGTTCCAGGGGTCTGTCCATGTAATGTGCTTTTGCCTGTTTATTGCTGCCCTTGTGCACAGAGGTTTGCAGTGTCATAACATGGCTCAAAGTGGGTATTTCAGTTAGTTCCTTTGTTCATAGGCAAGGGAAAATAAAGAGTCATGGTTTTATATGGTCTTGTTCCCCTAGATATTGATGTCAATGGTAAGACGAAGGTTGTCGTAGTGGTAAAATTGTTCTTTAACAACTTAACGTCAATAGTTCAAATTTTACTTTTTTGCAAGCAGAGATTAAACTATGTAAATCTTATAAACATAGACCCTTGAAAACTTTGTGCACTAGGCTTTTTGTTTTTTATATGGATGTTGACGATGTGGGTTGTAACTAAACAGTTTGAAATATTTTTGAATTATGTTATATTAATAGGAATTTTTTTTCAGGTTTTAACTACATAAGTGTTTAAAAAGTGTTTTTTTTTTGTACCAAACAACTTTTCTAGTCCATAATTTTAACGATGATGGATAGAGATAAGATATTTTAAAACAATATAGAAAGTCAAATTTGTTGATGTAATTTATTATAGTTATTACGACTTAACGTCAACAGTTCAAATTTTATTTTTTTGCGAGCAGAGATTAAACTATGTAAATTTTATAAATAGACCCTTGAAAATTTTGTGCACTAGGCTTTTCGTTTTTTATATGGATGTTGACGATGTGGGTTTTAACTAAACAGTTTGAAATATTTTTGAATTATGTTCTATTAATAGCATTTTTTTCAGGTTTTAACTACAGAAATGTTTAAAAAGTATTTTTTTTGTACCAAACAACTTTTCTAGTCCACAATTTTAACGATGATGGATAGAGATAAGATATTTTAAAACAATATAGATAGTCAGATTTGTTGATGTAATTTATTATAGTTATTGGATTAACAATGAATTTTAACATTAATCGAGGTTTGTAGTTAATTCAATGGTTACGATAAATTAAATTAATTAAATTTTCTCGTTTAATACTTGAATTCAAGCCTTTATAACTGCCACATGTCGTTAAGGCTAAACTTATTATTCAGCATCCAAAACATGTGGCAGGACTTTAGCTTCGACGTGATGTAGTACTAAAGGTCAATATTTTCTAACAAATACGAAGAATGATCTATCTGATTTTGAACAAAAAAATAAAATAAAATACGTTGAATTTGGTGGGACCAGAAAGCCCAAGAAAAGCCCGCTTAGGACAGAGGTCGTTGGCGGTCCAAAGCCCGCACCACTGGGCAACGACACAAACGATAAACTCTCTAGTCTCTACTCTTCGAATTCTCCGCTCTCTCTCTCTCTCTCTCTCTCTCTCTCTCTCTCTCTCTCTCCCCAACACATACATACATTCTGACAGTTACTCAGCCCCAACCCTCAAACTCGTCGATTATTCCCATGCTAATCCAACTTGATATCCAACTCCTATCTGCATCGTCCCTCTGTAACTACCAATTTTACAGTCAAACATCAGTTCAATTACAGTTTCAAAGATCAGAAGACATTGTTCCTGAGCTCGATCAATTGTTTTCTACTATACGTAAAATTTTCGCCTATGGCTCTTCATTCAACAGCTTTGTGCTTCAGTGCTGTGTCTTTGAATCCTCGAGGTTCAACCGTGTCTCGCCGGTGCACTGTCAGAGCATCAGCTTTTTCTTCGCCATCGCGATTTGCCGTTCCACGATGTAGATTTCAAGGTATTAATTTTATGGAACTACACTCTTTTTCTTTTTTCAGTAAGTATGGAAAACTACATTCTTAGCTGGTCATGATCGTGTCCTGAAGTTTTTCAGTTATATTAGTCTTGTAATTTTTCTTCAGTTCCGTCATCAAAGATGGATATATTGTATCAAATGAATAATGTTTCAAATTTACCTGAAATTTGGAAATTTCAGCTCAGATTGGTCTAACTTTGGCTGTATTGATTGAATTTTGCCACCACTTTTTTCTGGATTTTATTAGTGGGATTGAATTTAGGAATTTGCTGAAAGATATGCCTCGTTTTTTGATTTAAGCACCAGAAATAAGAGCTTTCGGACAAACATAGTGTGCATGCAAGATCCTGCACAATATAAAAAACGAGAACAGATCTCTCCCCTGGTGAACTCGAGTGAACCAGTTGAGTGACCAACCACGCTGTTTGGAACAGCGAGGTCCGGTGGTAACCTGGAACGGCAACGGGAGACCCTGGGGGAGCGGAAGAACGATCCAGTAAGACTGAAAGAGGTTCCTGGAACAAAGAAGAACAAATTAGAAGGGCGCCGGAGTGTTTTCCGGCGTATCCCCTCCGATGATCTAGTCAGTCTTTGAGAAAGAGAGAGGAAGGAGAAAATACTGAGTGTGTATTGTAGTAAAGAGTTCTTTGTTGCATCCCCGTCTTGCCTTTTGCAAGGAGTATTTATACCTCAAAAGCTCATGATTGCTGTCAGTGTAGTCAGTAGGTGATCATTAGGTACAGGCAGTGTGCACACTGATTCTGATGAGGAATGTCTTCTCTTCTTAACTGCTTGGGGTCCCGATCAATCAATGTTGTGTCATCGGGATGCCGACGGTACAATGTACTCCTCTCGGGGAGGATGTAATAAATGCTCTGTATTAGGAGCATTTATTGCCTTTCATTTCCGAGCCTTATCGCATTGAATGCGGTCTCGTCAAGGGAATGGTGTAATTAATCGTTTGCTTTCTCAAGTCGCGTGTCAGCAACGGCATGCGGTTTCTCTGTCTTCGATGTGATATCATATGCCACGCGTCCATCCCCTATTGGCTGTGGCCCCAGCATTCCAGTACGTTCTGACACTAATTGTGTAAGACGAGGTCATGATGAATAGCCTAGACTAACCTAGGCTAATGACCTGTACGTCAATAGCTTATCCTGGAGTAGAGGAAGCGTCCAGGACGGGGTACCTCTCGGCACCGAGGAAAGGCCATCTCGGAACCGAGGGAGGTATACCGACCGAGGTACCATATCAGACCGAGGCTACGTGTTGGTTGTAACTCGTACTGAATGCCATGATCCTATATGACGAGTACCTCGGGGGCGAGGACCTTTGTGCGCCGATGGTGCTTGATCTTAGCAACAGTGTTTTGGTAAAATACCGAGGACACGTGTCTTCATCATGGAGTATTTCAAAAAAGTCCCATCAACTGCCCCCCAGCCTTCGATCTTCTGACACCGAGGGCACGCGTCGTAAGGAGACGAAGGGTTTCCCAACAACCACAAATGCTTCATCATTGCCTCGAGCCGCTTTCCCCGACTTAGGATGTCGTGTGCATTAAATGCGCCGTTTCGTTTTTCGCGCCCAATGATGAAACTGCCACTATATAAATGGGGTTCCTCTTGCATTTTCTTGTTTCGCCATTCCGAACTTCCTCAAGAGAGCCTTTTCCTGAATCTTTGCCGGAGATCTCTTTCCTCTTCCATCGTCGACTGCCCATTCTTCCTTAAAGTCTTAAGGCCAGCAGACCCATCGTTGCTTCTGAACTTTCTGGAAGGAGTCGCCTAAAGTTTTCCAGAAAAAACTCCGTTTGACATTCGGGTGAGTCCTAGTTTCTTTCTTTTCTTCCTCCTATCCCTTTTTGTTTTCCGATGACTGGAGGTGTCTCCGGTTGATACTTAGCGACTAATCCTCGGGAAGCTTCCTCAGGGATTTTTAAGGAAAAACGCCCTCCACTTTCTCACTTTCTTAGAGATGCCTCGTCGTCGCCTGCTCCCGAGAATCCTCAGGCTAGTTCTTCGAGGTCGGGAAAGTATAAAGTAAAGGGTGGTGAGCAGATTAATAGGTTTAAGGTCAAGTACGACATTCTCCCGTGCGTAGACATAGAGGATTATGACTCGGTGGTGCACTCTCCTACCCTCGGGGCCGAGGATGCTATGCCCTTTTATACCAAGGCCATAATAGAGGGCGGAATTAGGTTTCCTTTACCCCCTTTACTTCTACAGTTCCTCTCTCACTTCCGCCTCTTCCCCAGGCAGTGTTGCCTTAATGTCTTCAGAATAATTATGGGGGTCTTAGAGCTCAATAGGCGCCTCGGGGTAAATATTGGGCTGAACGATCTCCTTTTTTGTTATTCCCTCTTGAGAGTCATGCCTCACCAACACTTTTACCTTGTAACGCATCTTCCCGACTCGGACAAGGGGTACAAGGACGATATTCTTATTTTCAAGGGATCTTGGCAGAGAGGTGTTGGTCCCGAGTATAACGGCTTGTTATGCCCTCTGGAATGGAGAACGACAAGTACGTCGGTTCCTTCGGATTTATTATTTTGTTCTCCAGATTTTTCATGTTCATGACTACTTTTTTTGTTTGTGCAGATATCCCTGCTCGGGAAACAGCTCCTCCCCCTCGGTCGCTGGTGAACTTTGCCGACCTAATCGCGGTTTGGAGATTTACTGGTGACAACGGGTTCGGCCGGGCTGCCCACATCCTGCTGAATTACACCCCCCGGGTATAAGAAATTTTCACAGCTTCCTTAGCCTTTTGAGCCTTCGCGGTGGTCTGAACTCTTCGATCAGGCGGCGAGGCAAGAGGTCGAGGAAAACTTGGAGGAAGACCCTGATCGGGCTTCGGAGGCAGAAGTAGAGGGAGTAGTTGAAGAGCTCGGGGTCAGAGAGGACTTTTCCTTCGGACGCCGAGGTGGGGACTTCGGGAGGAGATTTGTGGCCGACTTCCAAGTTCTACAATCTCTAGACGCCGAGGACGCCCTCGAGGTCGCGATGTCCAGCACGCCTCGTATTGACCTGGGGTTCCTGAGGCAGAGGCAAGCCTTTGCTGCCGGGAGGGGTCGAGGATCGACCGGCGGCGCCCCATCTGCAGGGACCAGTTCCACCCCATCCTCAAGAGTTCTCAGTCGGGGTCAAGTGCGTGACCGGGATCCTCAGGTAGAGGAGGAGAGAAGGGTCAAACATAGGCACGATGGCCTCGGCAGAGGATCCAGGGCATCTTCCGCTCAGCAGCAAAGCGGGAGAGGCCGTGGGTTACCCCCTGCTCCTCCGCAACAGCACAGCAACAGCAACAGCAACGACAACAGCAACAACGGCAGCAGCAGACTCCCCTTCCCCTCCGCCGACAGTGGAAGCCGCGGAGTGGAATCCCCGAGCCACCGATCACATGAACCGAGTGATCAGGGTCGATGATTCCATTTTGCTGGATCCTCATGTCGCCAATGCAGTGAGTGAGACACTGCATTTCGAGGCTGACATGGCGGCTCACAGGGGGCGATCAACGAACGTGTTGTTCCGCTCTATCATCCAGAATTCCCTGGTGGTAAGTTCATTTTTGCTTTGGTTTCTTCTCTCTCGCTTTCCATTTTTGTGATACGCCTTTTTCCCTCCTTTGCAGGCTACCCAACAGATCTCCATAATAGCTGCGCGGTACCATGGGTCTAGGATGGACCTCCAGCGGGCCCGAGAGCA